ACAGGCGCTGCGTGCAGTCGATGCCCTGCTTGTAGCTGCCCACCAGGTAGCCCAGGCGAAGCACCTCCGCCGCCGCCACCAGGCGCACCAGCACCAGGCCGGCGCGCGTCACGCCGCCCAGCTGGCTGCGCGCGCCAGCCAGGCGGGGGGGTACCGAAGCGTGGGAATGCACGCAGAGGGTGCCGCCTTTCTGCGCCATCCCCGCTGCTGCGCTGCCCGTCCCCCTGCCGCGCCCGCCGCCCCTCACCTGGGGTTGCGCACCATCTTGCCCAGGCCCCAGTACACTCCCGTGGCGGGCAGGAAGGAGTAGGAGAAGGGGCGCAGGTCTGTGGCGCACGCCTGCAACGCCGCCTTGTCCTCGTCGCAGTAATCGTAGTGGTACACCTTTCTGATCTCGCGGTATTGCTGCGCGCAGCGGGGCAGGCGAGCGGGTGGGCGGGCCGGGGAGCGGGCAGGCAGGCAGGGGGTGGAGAGGAGCGGCCGCCCGCGCCTCACCCGCAGCACATCGTTGAGGAACAGGATCTCCTCGCTGCCGCCAAACACGCCCTTGAGCGCCTCCAGCAGCGACGGCATGGCGCCGCGGTCTGCCCCGGCCTGCAGGGCTGGCTAGCGGAGGCTGGATGGGCACAAGTGGCGGCAGCCAGCGGGTGGCGGCGGCCAGCAGTCGGCCGGGTCAGTCGGGAGCCGTACCGTGGACGCTGATCGCCGGGATGGCGCCGAAGGTCGCCTTCAGGCAGCAATGGCGGGGGTTTCTCGGTTCAAGCCCCGACTCACGGAGCACCAGTGGGAACCACCGGACCGGGTCCCTGCGCTATCGGTCTGGACCGCCGACAACCGCAATGTGGGGCAGCCTGCTGGCAACAGGCTGAGCACCCTCGAGCAGCGCTGGCGCAGCACGATAGCACGCGACGAACCTGGAGCCTTTTCCAGGTGCCCATTTTGCCCGGGGAGACCCTGATCACCAGCCGCCGCACGCCTCACGTCTTCTGAGACGGGTACACCGGGTTGCAGCCCGCCCGGCTGAGCGCCTGGTTGCAACACCGGGCGTCGCCTTGCCAGTCGGTCTCCTTGGCTGCACATTCTAGGTCGCACCACATCCATAAAAGCCGGAAGACAGGCACCCAGCCCTGGGAGCGCTGCGTGCACCACCCAGTCCGCAGTGTCCCCTTCGACCAGCACGGGTACCTTCCCGCACAAACCACCTCCTTCCCGCGATTAATCAGGGCTCGAGGTGAGAGAGCTAGCGCGCAACGCGCCTGCACCTGCGAGCGGCACCCGCCCGCTGCCTCGCCGCCTGCCGCCAATGGGGCTCCGGCAGCCCTCCGGGGCCCCACTGCTCCAGCAAGCCTGGCTGCCTTGCCCGTTACAGGATGGCCGGCCCGCGTCCCGTGCTGGTGCTGGCGCTGTTCGTCAGCGCCCTGGGCCGTGTCGCGGCCCAGGGCACGTTTCCCGACTTTAGCAACGAGGGTGGGCCGCCGTTTGTGGAGGGCCCAGTGTTTGAGATGGACCCTGAGGAGGACCCCGCAACCACAGTGCTAGCCATTGGCTTCGTTGTCAACGGCACCTACACTTTGTCGACCAATGGACCTGGCGGAGTGGTCACGCTGATCGGTGAGAGAAGGCACACCGTGCCAGCAGCCTACCTGCCCGCCGCCAGGTGCTCGCCACCTCCGGATCGGCCAGGGGCATCGACTCTGATGCCCCCATTCCATGCAGGTCGCTACACCTCCTGGGAGTGCGGACCTATACCAGGGTCCTACCTGGCAGCTGTGGAAGCAACCATCATCCAATCTGATGGCACCTGTGCGTGGGGCCGCTGGCGCCAGCATGCTGGGTGCAGGCGTACGTGCACACCACACTTGTCACCCTTCTGTGTGCTGTGCTGTGATGCAGCCACCAGCAAGGTGATGTGCGAGTACGGCCTGGTGGACACCAGCCTGGGCACCAACACAATGTGAGATGCCGGTGGCCTGCCGATTCATGCGTGGAGCCCTGCCAGGCCCTTCTGTTGATCTTGGGCAGCCGTGCATGACCTGCACAGCTCACCCTGGCCTGGGCACTCTGCGGCACTGGCGGGCTGCTGCAGGAGCACCGCAGAGGGCTCATGCCCCACCACCCTCGATACGGCTATTGTCTTCCGCTACTTTCCAAAGTAGGGAGGCGCATCAGTGTGCTTGCCTGTGCTGCCCTACCTGGCACCATCTGTTCACTCTATGCCGGCTGGTTTCAGCTAGCCGGCGCCGACCGTTGCCTGCACCATTGCTGCGATGCTCCTGCTGCAGCTATCCCGAGGCCCCCAACACCTGCAGCAGTGACTCGGCGCCGGTGCCAGCGCCCGCGGACCCAAGTGGGGATGTCGGCGAGCCTGCTCCTGAACCTGCTCCCAGCGAGGAGCTGGTCGTCGCGGCGCCCTCCCCGTCTGAGGAGCAAGTCGACATGGCATCGCCTCCAGCTGTCACGGCAGCGTCGCCGCCAACGCTGGCACCAGCAGGGACCCCGGCGCCGGAGCGAGCCGGCGCGCCAGCCCCCGCCGAGGGTGATCTGGCGGTGCAGGGCAGCGAGGGCGCCGCCGGCAACTCGGAGCAGCTGTCCCAGTGCCTCCAGGAGTGCCTGGACAGCAAGGACTTCAAGCCCGTGTGCGTGGAGGCCAAGGAGGACCCCGAGATGCCCAAGCGGGTGCTGCCCAACAAGTGCAGCGTGCAGTGCCTCGAGGATTTCGAGGGCCAGGAGTATGGCAGCGACAAGGCAGATTTGCCGGACAAGAAGTACTGCAAGGAAAACGCCCAGGCCATCTACGTTGACCAGTCGCTGGAGCAGGAGCAGTGCACCAGCTGCTGATGCGGCATCCCAACACGATGCGCCCCACACACTCATTTTTGCCGCACCCAAACCTGGCGCCCACACCGTGATGTATGCGCTTTCCCGCGCCTCGTGACCCCCTCTATTGACCATACTGCTGCACAATTGCTCGGTTTTATTGCTGTTTGTTTCCAAGGGTAATGCAAGTTGTAATGACTCTTGGCTGTTCAGCAGATGCCGCCAGCTGGAGGGTACCGCGAGCAGTACACAATTGGGTTGACCTTGCCCAATTGGAGCTCCTGATCAACCGGAAAGAGAGGACTTGATGGCGCTGGCCAGGCTGAAATCGATGCGGTCAGGTGCGATCGTGTGTGCCGCTCCCCTTCCGAGACCTCTTGCTCTCGAGACTCTTGCCCAACAGCTTGACATTGCGCTGGCTGACATGCATTGCAGGCGCAAATGCGCGCCCGCCGCTGAGCAGTGCGGCCAACCCTGCCGCTACCGCCCACCGCCAGCACGACGAGTACCTGCGTGCCTTTGATGGCCCGCCTGCTACAGCTGATGAGCCAGATGCCCAGCCAAATTGTACAGGGGCGCCGCTGGACTGTCTCCATCTCCCAGCCCACACAGTGCACCAGCCCGCGGCAGACAGCAGAAGCATCGCTGCGGGCGCAGCCCCGTCGGAGGCGGCCCGCATCCTGCTGTCGGCAGACCGCAACCTGCTGTGCGCCAGCGTGGACTGGGAGCGCCACGAGGCAGTCTTCGGCTCTGCAGACCATGCCTGTTACACAGTCGACCTGCGGCGGCTGAAGAAAGCCCGCACCCTCCTCGGCAAGACGGCTGGCCACCGCGAGTGGGTGGCGGCGGTGTGCCACTTGCCGGGCGGCCGGATTGCTTCTGGCGGCCTGGATGCCAGCATCTGCGTGTGGCCTGCCGCGGGGGCAGCCTGCCAGCGCATAAAAGGGCATGCAGGCCCCATCAGCCAGCTTGAGCCGGTGCCAGCGGCAGGTGCTGCCGCCGCCTTTGTCAGCGCCTCCTATGACAAGCGCTTGATCACATGGTGCTGCCCTGGCGGCAGCGGTGGCAAGGCGCGGCATCAGCAGGTCTTGGCAGGACACCGAGCCCCCGTCCTGCAGCTCCAGGTGGCTGGCGGCTGCGCGGCATCTGGCGACCGAGACGGCGCCCTGCTGCGCTGGGATTTGGCGGCTGGGGCGGCAGTGGGCGGCCCTCTGCAAGCCCATACTGAGCACTGCACCGCGCTAGCGTGGTGGCATGTCGGCTCTAGCGGGGGTAGCGCAGATGAAATCAGCAGCCGCGGGAACTTGCTGCTGAGCGGGGGGCAGGACGGCTGCGTGAGGCTGTGGGACTTCCGGGCTGGGCGGCAGGTGGCACAGCAGGCCGCGCATGCCGGGCCAGCCGGCAAGGGTGCTGTGGGCAGCATGTCAGCAGGGCCGCCCAGCGCTCCCAACCTTGTGGTGACGGCAGGCGCCGACCGTGCCGTGCGGGGGCTGGAGGCAAGGCGCAACCTGGAGCCGGTGTGGAGCCAGGAGCTGCCCGACTTCCCCTACTCCCAGGCTCGCAGCACCAGCGCGGTGCTGTTGGGCTGTGGGGACGGCACAGTGGTGGCGCTCGAAGCCGCCGACGGCAGCCGCCGCTTCGCCCTCGCCGCCAGCGCTTCCGCCGTCCGCACCCTGCATGCGGGGCCGACTTGTTTTGTGGCGGGCTGCGATGATGGCAGCGCCATGGTGTATTCATTGACCTGATTCCTTTAAAATGATCGAGATGATGCATATTCAACCAGAGCAGTCATGCGACTTGCGCTGCCGTGCGCTTTCCTCCCACCGCCCGCCCACATTCCAATGCCTGGGGTGGCCTGGACCCGCTTCCATGGCTTGCTAGGCACGCTGTTTGTGGTCAGTACCTTGGGGAGGGCGGAGCAGCAGCATGGCCTCCGCTTCCTCGTTCAAAGCAGCCCAGGCAGCGCCTGCCCTGGCTGTGTGGGACGAGTTTGGCAGCTCCCAGGGGCTGCATGGCCGCCAATCAGAGGCGCAGGGGAACAGCCAGCAAGCCGCCAAGCAGAGCAGCTTGCCACCCACGGGCAGTGCTGCGGGCCAGGAGTGGCTGACAGCGCTGGCGCGCCACTGCGAGAGCGCAGAGGGGGCCAAGAGCAAGGCGGAGCTGGCAGAGCTGCTGCAATGCGGCAGCCGCGCCCGCAGCAAGGTGGTGCTGGCTTGCTTGTGTGGGCTTAAAGTCTGGTAAAGCAAGAACTAGCTTGCAACATAGACTCCCCGCCGAAACGGGACGGGAACCGGGCGAAAGCAGAGAAAGCAATAAAACAGGGGTGGAGCAAGGCGACATGCAACGCAAGCAGCTGACAGGGCACGCATCGAAACGTGTGTATGACTGGCAAAGTGGCATGGCGCATTGGGGAGAAACGCAACGGTACGGGAGCATGGGCTGGCCAAACGGCAGTGCGGAA